AGGTGAAGTAGGTGGATGTTGTAGGTGAATTAGGTGGATGTTGTAGGTGAAGTAGGTGGATGTTGTAGGTGATTATGAGTGATAAGTGATAAGTGTATGATATGTTAAGTGATAAGTGAATGATTATGATAAGTGATAAATGAATGTATGATATGATAAGTGGTGAATGATAAGTGATAAGTGGTGATGATATGTGATAAGTAATGAGTGGTGATGATAAGTATGGAGCATGTGAATTAACTAATGAAGGAAATGCATGTGCAATGACAATGTGTTAGAATGGATGTGTGTTATGCATGGCATGATTGGGATTAGGAAAGGTTTTAAATGTCCTAAAACTAAAGAGAACAAGGTTCCAACACTTTGGTCTTCAATTAGGTCTTCAATTTCGTCCAACACTTTGGCTCCAAGCATAAGCTATCCATCCTTAGCCCAAAAGTGCTCCAAAAGTCTCCAAAATGCATCTTTTTGCTCCTTTAGCCCTTTGGACCTATAAACACACGAAAATAGCTTAAAGTACTAAAATAACTAAAGAAACATAACGTAAATGCACGAGAACAAGCCATTTAAGTCGCATGAATATGCTCCTATCATATCCCCCAAACTTAGTGAAAATACAAAAATACCTATTTTCCTACGTAAATCCCGGGACGGGTTATTACAGATTAGGCCTTGTCTAAGTGAGATATTGAAGAGCCCCAACAATTTGTCTATATTCTGCAGGATCTTCAAGCAATGCACTAGTATGGTCAAGTTTGGCAGAGCCTAGAGGAGTAACACATGGCTTTGCTCCATCCATTTTTGTCCTTTTAAGCAAGTCTAACACATATTTAGACTGATGAATAAAAATGCTTGCAGAAGGCCTTTGTACTTCTAACCCAAGAAAGTAATGAAGATCTCTTAAGTCTTTGACAGGAAATTGAGCACTTAACTGAGATATCACATCACTGCAAGCAATTGAAAAAGGTCCAGTCACAAGGATATCATCCACATAGACAAGTATAAGGACTAGAACTAGTTTGTGAATGACAAATAAACTGTGATCTGATTGAAATACCTGAAATCCTATAGAAAGTAATGCAGAATGTAGCTTCTCAAACCAAGCTCTTGGAGCTTGTTTCAATCCATAGAGAGATTTCTTTAAATGACATACATGATTGGGGTGATCTTGATCAATGAAACCAGATGGTTGAGTCATGAACATATTTTCCTTCAAATGGCCATGTAAGAAAGTATTACTAACATCCAGTTGATGCAAAAACCAATTAGACTGAACTGCCAAAGTGAGTAGGATTCTGATGGTAATTGGCTTTGTCATTGGACAAAAAGTATCACTGTAATCGATTCCTTCCTGCTGATTATACCCCTTGGCCATTAATCTGGCCTTGTACCTGTCGACAAAGCCATTAAGCTTTCTTTTAATTCGAAATACCCACTTACACCCAACTAGATTTTGAGATGGGTTAGATGGAACTAGTGCTCAAGTTCCAGCACTTTGCAAGGCGTTAAATTCTTCTTGCATTGCTGTCCTTCAATGGGGAAATTTAGAGGCTTGCAAATAGGTCGAAGGGACATACTTAAGATTCAGGGTAGATGGCAAGGGATGTTTGGTTGCAGTGTATGCTTTTGGTTTATAAATTCTAGATTTGGATCTAGTTTGCATAGGATGAGTAGAGGTAATGGGAATTGGTGGATGTGATGGTAAGGGTATTGTAGGGGAAATATTAATGGAGGGTGAAGGAACATGAGTGACTTGTGGGGATGGTATAGGTAAGGATACAAAATGTGATGGTAATGGGGACAAGACTAAATTGGAAGAGGATGGAGACTCAGAGGTTGATGAAGGATATAAATTTGGAAAAGTAAGAGAAAAGGAAGATGATGAAGTGGTGGTTGTGGAAGGGATTGTAGGCAGTGACATAAATGTAGATTGATGAAAAGGGAATGAGCTTTTATCAAACAAACATGTCGAGAAATGTAGACTGATCTAGACATCTATATCCTTTGTGGACTAGACTATGACCAATAAACACACATACCTTGCTCTTAGCCTCAAGTTTGGAGTTGGTATAAGGCTTTAACCAAGGGTAGCATGTATACCCAAAAACCTTAAGGTGAGTGTAATTTGGTGACTTGTGAAAGAGTTGTTCCCATGGTGAAGGCTTGGAGACAGGTAGGAGTCTATTGATCAGATAGACTGCAGTTAGAAAGGAATTGATGAAGAACATTTGATGCAACCAATAAGGTTCTAGCTGTCTTTACAACTTGTATGTGCTTCCTTTCAGCACATCCATTTTGCTGAGGGGTGTAGGGATAACTAAGATGTTGTTGAATACCATGTTGAGCAAGATGTGTCTTAAAGGCAGAACTGAAGAATTCATCTCCTGAATTAGAGCGTAAAGTACCAATTTTGGTTCCGCACAAGTTTTCAACAAGAGGCTGAAACTGTATAAATGTATGAAAGACATCTGATTTATGCTTCAAAGGATACATCAAAGTATATTTCGTGAAATCATCAACAAAAATTACATAGAACCGATATTCACTCACAGAGAGTAAGGGTGCTGGTCCCCAAACATCAGCATATACCAATTCTAAAGCTCTAGAAGTAGTACAAATAGAATCATGAAAAGGTAATCTGGCACATTTGCCCAAGATGTAATTTGAACAATGAAATTGAGTGACATTATTAGTAATAGGCAAAGTAGACTTTGATACAATAGATCGAAAAGTCTTGAACATTGGGTGCCCCAATCGTTGATGCCAGATTTGAGTAGTTGCTTTTATTGCAGGATTGGCAGAAAACCTTCTTGTTGAGGGAGAAGACACAGAGAAGGGATAAAGACCACTACGAACAGGACCTCTAAAAAGCATCCTCCTTGTAGCAAGATCCTTCACATTAAAGTCAAAAGGATTTTGGGTTAAAGAGCACCAATTACCCAAAAGAAACATATTTGCAGAGATGAGATCATGTTGCAGATGGGGAACATGCAAAACATTGTTCAACTTAAAAGTAGCAGATGGTGTTTGAATAAATGAAGAGCCTGAGTGAAGAATTGACAAACCTTGGCCATTTCTAATGTAGACTTTGTCAGAACCAGTGTATGGCTGAGGATGTTGCAGATTATGAACATTGTTTGTCATGTGAGAGCTTGCACCAGAGTTAAGCAACCATGGCGGGGAAGAAGAGGTAGTGGTATTTGCACACATTGCAAGTTTGGCAGGTGGAATGCGCCATTGGAAGTTTGGATTCATACGATTAACACAATCGATAGCAGGATGACCAGGATCCTCACAAATTTGACAAGGAACAGGGTGTGGAGAATTGTAATTATTTTTGTAGTAATGTCCACCACGATTTCCTCCGCAATTGTTATTGTTGTAGCGATTGAATTTGGTGCGATTGGAATAATTGCGCTGTGAATTATTCCTCTAAAAATTATTCTTGTTTGGCTGAGTTTGAGCATTGTAAGCTTGCACTTGAGGAACATTTGGTGTAGGCAGCAGTGGAGGTTTATTGGATGCCTGGATGGAATTGAAAGCTTGATACGGTTCATTAGAAGAGGAACCTTGATTTTGCTTATTTCTCGAAAGATCCATCTCTTTATTAAGAAGAAAGCCATTAAGATCATCAATGGTGGTATTAGCCAAATGGAATTGAACAGAGTCCACAAATGAGTCATATTCATCAGGAAGGCCATTGAGAATAATGAGGAGAAGATGATTGTCATCAACTGGCGCTCCAGCAGTAGCAAGAGCATTTGTAACTTCCTTGATATGCTGTAAATATTCAGAGATTGAAGAGGATCCTTTTGTCACATATTGAAGGATGGAGCGGAGTTGATGAATGTGTGATTGAGAGACTCCACCAAAACGAAGTTCAAGATTCTGCCGGGCAGATTGGACTCCAACAATGAAGGAAATGAGATCTTCTGAGAGAGTAGAATTTATCCAGATAATAATGTTCTGGTCTTTCTCATACCATTGCTCGAAGGCTGGATTTGGAAGAGAGGTGAGATTATTAATTAGATGGATCAGTAAGAAATTGAGGCGGTGGTGGCTCAGATCCATCAATGATGTTGGTAAGCTTGTAGCGATGGAAGATCGGATCAAAAAGAGATTTCCAGACAAGATAATTGTGGCGTTTAAGCTTTGTTTGAACCATACTACCAATATTTTGGATTGTAATCGAGTTGATCGAAGCCTGAAATGAAGAATTAGGGTTTGAGATAAGCGGAGAATAATTAGGATTTACGATCACATGAGGAGATTGAGGAGGTGCGATCACCGGAGAAGATGAGCTGGAAGAGTATGCCGCCGTTAAAGATCAGAGATACAAAATTCTGAGCAAGAATCGAGAAGAGGAAAGTAGAAGTAGAGCTGTTTGGTAAGTGAGAAAATTACTGTTTGGTAGGTGGGAAAATTTGGGAAAAGGATCAAGGTTGTTAGACTGAGGCGAAAGATACCATATTAAGGAAATGAAATATTTTCTCATTAACTCAAGATAATAATTTTACGGAGTATATATAACAATACCTAATTAAAGTTACCACAGAAGAAAGGTAAAAGAATTATTACTACACTAACTCTGACTAACACTAACTAACTTTTGACTCTCTATTAGTCTCTTCACTAAAGGCCTCGGAGGTAGGGCTGGGCACGGGCCGGGCCGGGCCCAATTTTGAAGGGACCGGACCGGACCTAGGTTCAAAGGAAACGGGGCGGGCCGGGCCGGGGATTACATTTTCTAATATAAGAACCGGACATTACCCGGCCCGGTTGAAACGGGCCGGTTCGAGCCGGCTCCACGGGTCCCTTTTTTTTTTTTTTTTGGTTGTTTGAAATTTGGAATCACAATCACAATCATATACGATGTCCTTTGAAAAACCGAGTCCCCCTCCAATAAAAAGCCAGAATGCAATCAAACAAAGAGCAAAAGTTTAACTATTAATAAGTACATATAATGATAGAAAGCTATAACAACAAATCAGCGATGGTGCCAATAACTGAAATAATCAGAGGAAATTACCAAAAGATTGCTGAGAAAGGATTGCAGCATATTCATCCCTCTTAGCCCTTTGATCTTGCACTGTTCTCTTAAGTACTTCAATCCTAGCTTTCCTAGCTTCAATGGCCTCCATCAATGCCATTCGCTTGGCCTCTTTACGGGTCTTCACTACAAAGAACAATAAGAAATATAAACTAACACAGATTAATTTGAAGAAGGAAAAATATATCTTAAAAGAAAAAAGATTTCAGCTAATCACAGCAAAAGCAGCAATTAAATTGATTAGCTTTCAGGGATATTACTACTAAACAATAAAATTAGTGTAATTTCTTTGCAATTTTAACTTCAAATTTTCCAAGTAATTTCTAATTTCCATCCAAATTATAAATACAAAATGCAGAGTATATACCTGCCAGGGCTTTAAACAAATCATCCTCAGCTTCCCTCAATTTAGCTTTAGCCTCTCCTAACTTACCTGCAATTATTCGAAAGAAAACAAACTTCAGCCAAATGAGATTTACAAAAATTTAAATCTGAAACCCTAATTTCGCACGAACCACGCATCCTCACTCGACTCAAGAACCCAAATTTATGCACAAATTACAAGAAAACGCAGATATAAACCCTAAATCGAAGTAAATTTATGAAAAAATCAAGTAAATAAAAGAGTTAAATGACAAGCTGGACCTTGGGACCGGAGGGTTTCTTGTGCGGTGGCGCGAGCGGAAGCCAGGGAGTCCCGAAACGACGCCGCGAAGGCATCCAAATCCTGCTGGTGGATCGGAATCTCACTCTCGCAGGCCATCCGTAGCGACTCCATCTTCGTCCGTACGGACTCCTCTGGTTTGCCGTCCATTTGCTGAAGACAGAGGAGTCGGTGACACAGTTGGAAGTTCCATTTGCTCCAAAAATCAAATAAAAACAGACCCAGATGACCATTTCAATCAAATCACAACCAAAAAACAAGCAAGATCCATGTGAAAATCGCAGCAAATGAAAGGAAGCAGAAGAAAATATTTACCTTGCTGGGTACACGAGTTGTTCGACTTCATTGTTCGTCCCTTTAAGTTTGTCAGAGGGAGAGAAACTGATTTCCAGAGAGTGAGTCAGGAAAATAGATCGAAGCTTGATGATGATGGCAGCGGACGGAGGGAGGAAGATAGAAGCAAATCAGGATGAGAGAGGTCTGAGTGATGATGGTAGCGGTGGTGTATGGAGCTAGGATGATCAGAGAGAGTTAGGAGGAGAGAGGTCTGAGTGAAATGAGAGGAGTCGGGAGGAGAGTTCGAGAAGACTAGGAAGAGGAAACAATTTCTTCTATTATTCATTCTAGAAACGGGCCGGGCCGGGGGCCCGTCCACTTCTATTTCAAGATCCACCCCGCCCCGTTAATATGGTATACCCGAACCGCCCCGCCCCGTTTTGTGTTTAGAAATTTTGGACCCGGCCCTTACCCGCCCCAAACAACGGGTACCCGCCCCTACCCGCGGGTCCAGGATCCGTTTGCCCAGCCCTACTCGGAGGCAAGTCCAGCAAACCAAGACCCAATATTAAAGAATTGTAGGAAACAATACTCTTCTCTAGCATGATCTAAAAAACACGAGTCCCCATTGCCAAGAAGCCACATTTTGAATGCATGGCTATAAGTGCAGAGGAAATCATGACATCGATTGGAGTCCATGTCAAAGAACACAAGCATGTAACCAGGTCCTACATGCGCCATCTGATGAGCAGCAGCAGCCAACACACTAGAAATCAAAACTGAATCCGGCTTCTTACCTTCCATGTTCAAATTCTTGAAGAAGAACAAGGCCTTATCATAATCTCCAATCTGCGAAAACCCAGTTATCAAAGCAGACCATGTAACTAAATCTGGCTCGAACAAACCACTAAAAACTCTATGTGCAGAATTCACACACATACATATCGAATACATGCTGACAAGCACACAGCTCCCGTGATCATTAGAATCTAAATGCCATTTCAAACAAAGACCATGTATTCCTGTCCAATACTTATCAAGCTCGAATCCGATAAACCCGAAAGCAACCCAACAATTGTAGGAGACACATAGTTAGAGATGAGACATGTAGGAGACACGTACTTAGGGGACAGGAGACCTTGGTAGGAGGTCACTGCGTTCGTAAAAATATAGCGACTAAGAAGAAGAGGGTTGTGGCCCTACTTTTTCATTTTCAGTGGAACGATGGCGTTTCACTCCTCATTACTTTTTAAGGAATAATGGTTATGGATAAAAAAAGAATGTGAACTTAAAATGGGGCCCAAATTAATGTTCACCTAAGTCCAAAAAAAAAAAAAAACTGTTTACTAAAAATGTCTAAAATAAAATTAAATTTGTAAGTTGCGCCTAGCCTAGGGTGCGCGACCACAAATTTATAAATTACACTTGGCGTTCATGTTCGTAAGTTGCTCGTGATTAAAAAAAGTCTCTCATACTTGGGTATTGACAAGTCAGTATCCAATTTTCATTGATCATTTGCACGGTCCAATAAAAATGTTTCATCTGTTCATTTAAAGGAATTTTAACGAAAGACACATTTTTACAATAGAAATGTTACATTTGTTCACTTTAATGAAAAATCATATTTTTACACTAAAAAGTCAATCCTAGTACTATTCATTTTACCCTTTATTTTGTCTATATCGTTAAAACTCAAAGTTTTCAAACTCTTACTCAAAGTTTTTAAGTTATTTTCATTAGTTTTCCTTTCATTTAATTGCCCCAAACTCTTGCTATTTTGATAACCAAACATCTTTCTTGCTCCCATAACCTGATAACCAAACAACACTCTTCTTCCTCCCATAAACCCACGAGCCATGGCTGACCAACCCTCACCTCCTGCAACCTCTACTCTCCTGCAACCCCACCCTCGTCTTCTCTACTAACCTCTTCCCGCCGAACCCACCTCCTCTCCTCCTCCAAGCTTTCCCTCAGGCCACCCACCCCATTTTCTCCCCCAATCTCTCTCCGACGACGACCCCACCCTCAATCCACCCTTTTCTATCCCTAGGCAGCCATGGTGGCAGGGTTTAGAGGAGAAAGGTGGCAGCGATTCTCCAAGTATTCTGTTGGAGCTTCCATGAATTCCTCGGAAAAGAAGATGCTAATTGGGTGTGGGATCGACGACGAAAGGTTAGAGGAGGAGATGGGATGGGAGACCTAAAAGTTCTTGCTGGTTTGGGAAGTAATGCAGTGAGGTTGGACAATAGAATAGTGAATGTTTCGTAATCAATTTTAGTTAAGTGATAATGAGTTCAGGAAATACACGTGTTGAAATTCCTTTTCTTTTTTTTTTTTTTTTTTTCTTCTTCTCAAAGGATAAAATTTATTATTATAATCAAATAGACAGTTTGACATCGTGTACCAGGATATTAAACTGGAAATCAAGACCAATACAATTCCATACAAAATACCGCGGTTCCTTGAACACATACTTAGCCACTGAATGCGCAGCACGATTGCACTCGCCAAGGATACATTCAAGACTGTAATCATGCATCAACTCCTTCCTAATCATTTGAATAAGCACCTTTGCATCAGACTCAACAATCACATTGTCAAAACCATTGTCACCACATACCTCCAAAGCTTGCCGAATTGCTACCGCTTCCGCCGCTAATGCAGAGTGACAGTGCATCTCTCCCGAGCCTCCCGCTGCCTGCAACACGCCTGCGACATCACGAGCAACCCAACCCACTCCCACACGCAACAAATCCTGGTTTCTGCCACCGATCAGTCTTTCATCCCAAATCCACAGTCGACATCCCGATTTTTGGGCACACACCTTCAGCACCCTGTACCTTCGCGTCTTTGAATTCAGAAATACTCCTCCTCCATGCTTCCAAAACCTCTTAAGGATGTCGATAAACACCGTTGAAAACCACCTCATTTCTATTTTTCCATAATCTCCATAAACCAAAGATAAACTTGTATGATCTCGCCTGCATTTTCGTTTCCCTTAACACGATTCCAGAATTTCTCCCAACTTTCTAAAAAAATATCAAAAAAGTTCAATTGGAGCGAAGAACAAAACCAGAATAGGTGACTGAGTTCGCATCGGAAAAATAGATGGTTTTCCGTCTCATCGATCTGGCTACACACCCCACATACGTTATCAACCCTCATATGTCTCCGCAGCAGATTTCGTCTTACGGCCAACGCATTATTGCAGCACCGCCATATAAAGAATTTCATTTTATTAGGAACCTCCAGACTCCATATCCTATTCCACACTTGGTTGTTCTTCAGTGTCGCACTTGGCACACCCCTCCCTTTCCTCCCCAGCACACCATTTTCCATAAGCCCCAAAGCCACCCCATAGCCAGACTTGACCGTGTACACCCCACTTGTAGTGTGGTGCCACACCAACCTATCCCGACAACCTGTTTTAATATATGGTGAGAACCTTCGCAAGGACCTTATAGCGTACATTACATAGAGCAATAGGCCAATACTGGGTCATACTCTTCGGACACGTCACCTTTGGAATGAGTACCAGATTTGTATGATTAAGTTTCTGTAAAAGCGAGCCAGAGTGCCAGAAAGCTTTAACAATATTCACCACATCCTTCCCCACCACCTCCCAATGGTCCTGATAAAAACTACCCGAAAACCCGTCAGGTCCCAGAGCTCTCGTAGGAGGAATTTGAAAAATAGGATACCGCGATGGAACCTATGGCAGTCTCGCTCTCTTGCCACACCCCATTCGAATCCTCCAACCCCCAAACTTAGTTAAACCTTCACCGTTTCATCGTTTGCGCATGAAAAAACTTCGTGTTCTCACCCTCATTAAGCCATTGGACCCTCGACTTCACTCGCCAATAAGTCTCTTCTTCCTTATACGCTTTCCTAAGCTCCCTTTCCTTTAGGTACACCTCATCCGTGGCAAACCGAGGGGATTGATAAGCCATCCTGATCTCTCATTTGAGTTGGTCAATAGCCTTTTTTGAGTTCCTTCCCCTCTCTTTATACCAGACCTTGAGACTCCCCCTCAGAGATTTCGATTTCTCGCAAAACCAATAAGCATGTGAGCCCCTAGCCTTATCATGCCATTCATCAGCCACCAAGTCACGGCATTCAGCTAGCTTCCCCCATCGCGCATCATACATAAATCTTCTCCCCCTCCTAGCCCTTATCTTTTCCGTAGAGAGAACAAACATTGCATGGTCGGACCCTTCCAACACCACACGCAGGATTTTTGTATCCGGATAAAGATCATGCCACCCCACACTGACCAACCCTCGATCGAGCCTCTGTTGAATTGGTTTGGCCTCCCTATTATTCCTCCAAGTAAACGAATAGCCCAGATCCATAAGTTCATTCTGTCACGTCCTAATCTCGACATACGTTTAGGATCGACATGTGACATCACCAAATACCCGTCTCTAACATACCCTGCCTCCGGAAAAAGGTAAAACATAACTTAAGATCCAACTGCGCAATAATTCTTCGTAGACTTTATGGCTGCATCTAACATCCTCGTTAGACTGTCTACATACCCTAAATAGGGATCAAGCCATTCGTAGTTCATTACTTCACTACACTCGAACATTCATCACATAAGTCATTATCTCCCAACAAAATACCACAATGCATATCAAGCAATATTTCAAAGAACAAACGACGAAGCACAATCATATTCTCTCGCCATATTTATCAACAAGTCTAATCATAACAATAACAATGATATCCAACATAATAATCCCACATGACAAATAACATTTCCACTTCATCCATCACATAAATCATCACATTTCCCACATAAAATCACAATTCATAGCGTGTAACATATTAAAGAATTAACAATGCACAATATTATTCTCTAGAAACATTAATCAACTAAA